TGATGACGAATCTATTGGGGGGGAAAGAGACTTAAGGCTGTGAGCATCGCATCAGCTGGCCCCTTCGCCTTTATTCTCAGGTGGAACAAGCGAGCATAATAGTTTCTGCAGTGGAAAGTGCCGTCAAGTAACAGCCGACTTAGGGTGATGTCCTAGGGCAGTGATGGCGAACCTTTTAGAGACCGAGTGCCCAAACTGTGACCCAAAACCCACTTATTTATCGCAAAGTGCCAACACGGCCATTTAACCTGAATACTGAGGTTTTACTTTAGAAAAAAACAACTCATACATTAACTTAAGATGATCCAAACAAAGTAAGGAATGCAATCCCAAATGCTTTCATTTACTTAACATTATTTGGCAGAGAATTCGACACTTTAATGACGGTCTGGGCCTGGCTGGGGCGATGGCACGCGTGCCCACAGAGAGGACTCTGAGTGTCACCTCTGGCACCCATGCCATAGGTTCACCACCACTGTCCTAGGGTTTCCAAGGCAAGAGACAAAAGTGTTTTAGCGTTGCCTGGTTCTGTGCCAAGACCAATGTTCCCTCTAAGCTGAGTGCGAGCTAGCTCACAGATTTTTAGCCTCTGGCTCACACATCTTTGTCTCGGCTCAGGAAGGATGGCTCGAGTTCAAACTAATTTATGCAGCAGCCAAATCGCTCACTCACAACTTTAATGCCAGTAGCCCACAAAGTAGAATTTTTGCTCACAGGACTCCACGGCTTAGAGGGGGCGTTGACCAAGACACTGGTGTTGCTTGGCGGTCTCCCATCCAACTACTAGCTGGAGCCAGCCCTACTTAGCTTCCAAGATCTGATAAGATCTGCCTAGCCAGGCCTAGCCAGGTCAGGCATAATCGTGTTTACCCATCTCTTTTTGTTCCTCTTTCTCTCACTCTCTCTCTCCTTCCTGTTTGGTTTGTTGCTCTCCCATCTCCCTGCAACCATCTAAATATAGACTGGGCAGGGCCCCGGCTTTTGCCAATGGAAACAAGCGAAGGCATCGAGCAGTAGAGCCAGGGAAGGTGCCGTATAAAGGACCCCTCACCACAGCCAGTAATAAACACAAGGCAAAACAGACGCCACCTTGGTGTCTCAGCACCTCCCTAAGTTTGAACAGCACCTGCCATGGAACTCATGTGTCGCGGCCCCAGGCGAGACGGTGGTCAGGTGTGCTTCGGGACAGACAAGCAGAAGTCGGCTGGCATCCTTGGGAAAGAGAGCCAATGGAAATGAGGGCTCATGTAGCGATTTTATTCCCCACCCCTGCAAAAAGAGCACCGTGGCTTTGCCTTCCACAGCATTTGGAGGTTTATGAATTCAAGGCGGCTGGAAAGCAGAACCCGAACTCCCAAGATGATGCTGGGTGGAAAAAAGAGATCGCTGGGATTCCACGAAGGGGGGAGGGGAAGCGCACAGATGTGCCCTTTAACAGCCAACCGCCAGACTTATTTGCTCCCCATCTTGTACTCTTAGAGAAGGCAGAATTCTGCACCAGGCTAGGCTATCCCTGGAGCCAGAATGCAAGGATGCAAACGTGGTTTCTGTGAGGAGAGGCAGTTAACTCTTTGCGGGGTACCAAGCTGCCCCGTCAGTTACCTCCAAGAGCCCATTTCTCCCTCTTCTCTGGGGGCGGGTGTGTGTGTCAAATTACACTGGACTCTAAGGATTGACTCTGGTAGGGTTGCCATGTCCCCCGGGGCCACCAGAGGTGGCCAGATCCAGGTTGGGAAACTGCCGGAGATTTGGGGATGGAGCCTGGGGAGGAGGACGGGGACCTCAGTGGGGCACAACGCCATAGACTCCACCCTCCAAAGGGGGAACTGATCTCTGTAGGATGGAGATGAGCGGGAACTCCGGAGTTCCACCTGGAGGCTGGCATCCCTAATTCGGGGTGAGGCGATATGGATTGACGCCAGGGCTCCGGAGAAGGTTAACTCTTGACACACACCACACTCGGTCGGACCACTAGGAAGGGCGCCCGGAGCCCCGAGCGGGGGGAAAGAGCCGGGTATCCCGGCCGACCTCCCTTCCCCGTCGCTGCGTCCCCACCCCGGCCCCGTCGAGCCTCACCTGCGCTTATACTCGTCCCGTTCCCTCTTCACCTTGGCCAGGACGTTGTAGAGCGCCCGGATCTCGGGCGTGATGGTGTCTATCTGCACGCCCACGCCGTCGGGGTGGACCCAGGAGACGCCGGGCCCTTGCACCAGGGTGGTCTCCAGGCCAGGCCCCAGGCGGCGAGCCTGCGAGAAGGACCAGATGGTGCCGGGCAAGAAGCGCGAGGAGGCCGAGAAGGCGCCGCCGGGCAAGGAAGCGGCGGCGGCGGCGGCCGAGGTGGGGGTCAGCGGGGCCCCCGGCGGGTGGCAACTGGGCGAGCTCAGGCCCCTCGACGGCGTGCTGAGCCCCACCGGGCGGGCGCTGCTGCTGCCGCTGCTGCTAGTGGCGGCCAGCGCCAGGCCCAGCGGGCGGATGGGGCCGACGAAGCCGGTCTGGACGGCCTGGTCGCGCCGCTGCCCGCCGCCGCCCCGACGGGCGCCGCCTTCGTCGAGGGCCTGCTGGAGCTGCTTCTCCAGCTGCCGGTTGCGGCGCTCCAGCTCGTGCACCTTGGCCAGGAAGCATCGGAAGCGCAGGTTGAGCGTCTTCAGCACGTTGATGTTGGAGCCCAGGTCGTTGCGCAGCGCCATGGCGGCCGGGGGCGCCGCCGAGAAGGGGGGCCCGCCGCCGCCGCTGCCGCCGCCGCCGAACCCCCTCCTTTCTCAGGTCCCGCTACCCCTTCTGCTAAGAGCATGTTGTCCAGGCGCATCAGCTGAGGGTCTGTTGGTTCTTCCTCTTGAGCCCCTCGAATACTCAACACTGTGTAAGAGAGAGAGGAGAGCAAAATGAGCAGATTAAAACATGGAACAATAGCAACAGTTCCTCTAGGGCAGTGGTGGCGGCGAACCTATGGCATGGATGCCAGAGGTGGCACTCAGAGCCCTCTCTGTGGGCACATGTACCATCGCGGCGTCCTCACGACCGGCCGAGGGATGCGCGCTGCACGTCCAGGGGGGAGCCGAGGACGCGCGACGGGCCGCCGATGCAGGAACAGCGCCCCCCAAGGGATCCGGCTGGCACCCGCGGGCCTTCGGCTTCTCCCCAGCTGCGGGGAGGGCAGGGGAGGGGGTGGCGATCGGCTGCTGGGAAGGAGGACAACAGAGTTACGTGGCCACTGGCCTCCTTTCGGGTCTGGATCTCATTGCCGCCGCCGCCTCTGCGCTTCGCTTCCTCCCCTTCTCGGGCATGGTGCGCCCACGTGCCTGATCACAAGAGCCCGCCCGCCTCCGCTCTCGCACGGCGGACCAGTCCCTGGCGGGCTGCGAGGCTGAAGCGCCGGGCGGCGCACGTAGAGGCTGAGGAATCAGGCCGACGCCGCACGCAGCTTTGTTTGTTGTTGGGGTTTTTTTGCGCACGGTATTGGATACGTGGCTGGTGTTTCTGCTGGCTCCGGAAACCTTTCTCGGCCCGTGCCAGAGCAGACCAAGGAAGGCTGCGATCACACACACACACACACACAAAAGAGTGCACTTCCAATCCACTTCCCAACTGGATTTTTGCCCGTTCACACGGTAAAATCCAATTGGAAAAGAGCATTGCGAGTGTATTGTTTAGTGTGTGTGATCGTAGCCCAAGTCTACAGCCTGGGGGGGGGGGGCACGGGATTTCCCCCAACCCTCCTTTAAAAAAAGAAAAGGGAAAAAAAGTGTAATTCAAAAATTCAAGTCCCTCCCTTGCATCAGTACCCCCTGAATCGGAAAGCCCAAGCTAGGCTTTTCTAGGAAGCAAAGTAGGGTTGGCCCTGGTTAGTATTTGGATAGGAGGCCCACCAAAAAAGTTCACGGTGGGTCGCCACCCAGAGGCAGGCAAGGGCAAACCACCTCTGAACCAATGCCCCCTCTAAGCTGTGGAGTTTTGTGAGGAGGGCGGAAATAAATAAATAAAAATAAATTGTGAGCTACAGGCATTCGAGTTGTGAGTGAGCGATTTGGCTACTGCATACATTAGTTGGCTCTGGAGCCCTCCTTCCTGAGCTAAGACAAAAATGTGTGAGCTGGAGGCTAAGAAACTGAGCTAGCTCACACTAACTCAGCTTAGAGGGAACACTGCTCTGAACACTTCGAAAACTACAGGGTCACCATAAATCGGCTGCATCTTGGATGGCACTTTCCACCACCCATGGCATGAGTACTGTTAAATGCCCTCCTCTGAGACTGGCTGTTCTCTGCCGAAAACAAAGACCTTATAATGCTACTTATTAAGCTCAATTACAGTAACAAAATCAGGGGCAAGTTTGGGAAATCTCTACAACTGTGCTTTGGGCTGGATGTTCCAAAACAAACACTTCCCCCCCCCCCCCCCAAAACCCCACAGAAAAAGAATACCCAAGCTGACAAAGAGTTTTGACGTTCTCCAAAATTTCCCCATGCTGTTGTGTTACTTTTAGCTGGTCTTAAGACATTACACAACGTTTGCTTTGAGGGTTTGCTACAGTCGAGTGCGTTTTTGATCTCTTCTATGTAGGCTTATAATCACTGTGGAATGTGATGAGTAGGGGGGAAAAGTATGTGCATGTATACTGGGAAAAGGCACAGGTGTCATAAAGAGCACAAGCTAGGCACCCAAATTAGTCACCCACTTTAGTGTAGTCACCCGGTTTGGTGTGGTTAAGAATGGCAGACTCTAATGTGGGAGAACCGGGTTTGATTCCCCACTCCTCCTCCACATGCAGCCAGCTGGGTGACCTTGGGTCAGTCACAAGTTCTCTCAGAGCTGTTCTCTCAAGAGCAGTCCTCGAAAGAGCTCTCTCAGCCCCCACCTACCTCACAGGGTGTCTGTTGCGGGGAGGGGAAGGGAAGGAGATTGTAAGCCGCTCTGAGATTCCAAGTGAAGGGCGGGGCATAAATCCTCCTCCTCCCCTTCCTCCTCCCCCCTGTGGAGTACCAAAAGACCCTGGAGCAGCAAGATACAGATGCCTAAGTTGCTCCAGGGCTGTGCCAGCCTGAGCCACAACCACCCTTCCAAGGCAGCCCCATACAGGGGTCTCCTTCTTGGGAGGTTTTTAAGCAAAGGCTTAGGGGGCCATCGGACAGGAATGCTGATTCTATGACTCACTATGAATTTAGGCAGATGGCGAGAGGGAGGGGTAGGAAGAGATGAGCCAGTGCTCGCCACAAGATAGCCCCTTTGGGTTCAGGAAGGTATTTCCCTCCAGGCTAGATTGGCCCAGGGATAGAATCACAGTATCACAGAGTTGGCAGGGGCCATACAGGGGCCATCTAGCCCAACCCCCTGCACAATGCAGGATCAGCCTAGAGCATCCCTGACAAGTGTTTGTCCAGCTGCAGTTTAAAGACTGCCAGTGAAGGTTTTTTTGCCTTCCTCTGGGCATAGAGCGGGGGCCATTGGGGGAGTGTGTGGGGGACGTTAGCTGTGAATTTCCTGCATTGTGAACACAGTTGGACTAGATGACCCTTTGGGGCCCCTTCCAGTTCTTTGCTTCTATTTATGCCCCTGGTTGAGAGTTCAAATCCTTCCAAGGGCGGCTACCTTGAAACTCTGGCAGAAAAGGGAACGGGGGAGTTTCTACAGGAATCTTAAAACATTTCTTTTCCCACAATAAAATATCCAGCTCCAAGTCTTGGCCTACTGTCGTCCTCTCCTGCTTACTTAGGAGTAAGCGACTGTGAATTCTGGGAGAATGGTTTTGCCTCTTAACAGAGGGAAACTGGCGACTCTTCAGGTCCACATATTTCAGGGGAAAGGCTCCAGTCAGCAAGACGGGACCTGCGCCCAAGCGTGCCTGCATGGGCGTGCAGTCTTAATTCGGCTGTCCAGGGAGTGGCCAAGCACTCTGGGGCTGGCACAATGCCACATCCGGCTGTCGGCCAGCTGCTCCAAACTAACATACCCCAAACACCCCCTTTTCTGTGGATGCGGGGACAGCAAGCAGCCCTGGTGCCTTTTAGATTTCCCAAGCGGTGGTGAGAAGGGCCGTCAAGTCGCTAGGGCTGCGAGCTGTGGGTTGGGAAATACCTGGAGATCTTGGGGGCGGAGCCTGGGGAGGGCGGGGTTTGGGGAGGGGACCTCGGCGTGGTACGATGCCACAGAGTCCACCCTCGAAAGCAGCCATTTCCTCGAGGGGAGCTGATCTCTGCAGTCTCGAGACCAGTTGTAAAAGTGGGAGGTCTCCAGGCCCCACCTGGAGAATGACAACCCTAAACCGCAGCCCACTTATGGCGACCCCGTAGAGTTTTCAAGGCAAGAGACCTACAGAGATGGTTTGCCATTGCCTGCCCCCGCCTCCCAACTACTGGTATTCCAAGGAGGTCTCCCATCCAAGTACTTGCTTAGCTTCCGAGATCTGATGAGGTCAGGCTAGCCGGGGCTGTCCAGGTCAGGGGGGGTTCCCAAGTAGCCTTTGTTTTCTTCCTCGATCCAGACAAGCAAATGGAGGTGACTCTCCTCTGCATCTCTAGACCTGCTTCCTGGCTTGGGCTGTAAGAGTCCCACAAGGCTTTTATTCCGCCAGCAACTTGTAGACCAATTATTCATTGGCTTCCTTCATACCCTGCCTTTGTCTCCAGTGGGGACCCAAAGCAGCTAAAGTTCTCCTTTCCTTCGTTTTATCTCACAAAAATCCTTGGAGGCAGGTGAGGCTGAGGAGGGGTGTGTGTGACTGGCCCGAGGTCACCCAGCAAGCTTCCACCGCAGAGTGGGGATTTGGACCTGGGTCTCTCACTGCACCCCTACTAACCACTGCTACTGAAGAAGTGAGCAGTGACTCATGAAAGCTCACACCACACATTTATCTTATCTGACTACATATGCTAACTTCATTCAGTACTTACATCTGTATGCTGACCAGCCCCCCAGAAGGGCCATACATCCTCTTTATTCTATTTTATTTCTTATTTGGAATAACATATTAGAATAGTACATTGTGATGTAACATCATGAATCGTAGAATGTAATGTAATTTGGAGTGGTAATGTATTTCTCTGGTCTGGGGACAGGGGAGATAACTCCACATAGCCAGTTGCCCCACTTCAAAGAAGATGCTGCCAGGTCTAGAGATGTAAAATTTCCGGAAATTTTGAAGCTCGGAAAAAAACGGAAATTTTCAGAAAAATTGAAAAAATGCCACATTAGCATTTCTCTTGTCTTTTCTAGTTTGAAAGTCATTCTGTTACTTTAGGAACATAAAATATGACTAGGGACATTTTTACTTGGCATGAAATTATCACAACTAGCATATTAAAAATATAGTGTATCCAAACAATTATTACAGAATACCCACCCACATGCAAAAACAAAACTGAAACTTTTTTATTTTCTTCTGACAATCGCACCTCCTAAAGGAAGAAATGCATCTTGTTCTTGCATTGGAGAGTTCAGTTTGTAACATAGGACTTGCTTGTCCTCAGTGCACAGAAATTACATCAATCTGATACCATATATATATTTTAGAAATGATTTGGAAAATATTTGAACACCTGGTCTTAAAATATTTTATTCATCATGTTAAAATAAAATGTTCCATAATCAATTTTTTTTCTTTTTTCAATTTTTCCAATTTTTCAGAAAAAAACAAAAAGGCTTCAGGAAAAAAACGGGGGTCCCTGGCAGGTCGCCTCCATGCTTGAGAGGAGACGGATGGAGCGTAACCAGGGTCTCCGTTAATTACTCTCAGCATCCCACAATTAAGGATACATCTGCCCATCAATCTCCAATTTTGATGTATTTATTTCCTTCACTATGTCCCCCCCCCCTCCCAAGAACTGAACCCAAACAAATGCTGACCACATAAACTAAACTTGTTATTCCTGTTTGGTCCTTGAATCTGTTAAACATCTTCATTCCACTGTATGCTAATTAACTGCTCACCTTCTACCTCTATGTATGGACTGGCAATTTCCATTTCACTGTATTGAAGTGTGCATGCACACGAAAGCTTATCCCTCGAATAAATTTTTGTTTGGTGTAGTGCTTAAGTGCGCAGACTCTAATCTGGGAGAACCGGGTTTGATTCCCCACTCCTCCACTTGCACCTGGCTGGACGACCTTGGGCAAGCCGTAGTTCTGATAAGAGCTGTCCTTGAAAAAAAGCAGTTTCTGTCAAGAGCTCTCTCAGCCCCACCTACCTCACAGGGTGTCTGTTGTGGGGAGGGGAAGGGGAAGGAGTTTGTAAACCGTTCTGAGACACCGTTGGGTAGTGAAGGGTGGGGTATAAATCCAATCTCTTCTC